TTCTGATTCTGAATGTCCATTCATGTACTGATTTTTATTTCAGAGATATTCAATTCTTCTACCCTTACCCAGTGCGCCCCATCTTTAGCATAACACAATTTTCCTACATTTGTTCAGTCTTTTCAAAAACGTCATTATTTCTTATGTTAAATAATATACGACATATCATACGACAATCGGCACCTATTTTTACTTCTGTCGTCCTACCAAACAGGAATTCTAATATCGACTTTTACAATTTGCTGTTTACTGCTTGTTTTCTGAGTTGCAGAAGTCTCCACATTTGATGAGGAGCCTCTGTTATCATCAACTCTATGGTCCCTGATCTTAATGCCATGGATCTATAACTTGACAGATTTGTTGGGTCTTTACCTGAAGTGACTATTTACACTATAACTGCTTGGTTTGATTGAGGCGATTGGGATAGCTTGTGCCCTTTCCATTACTAATATACACAAAATCATTTATGAACTTTTTCAATCTCTTCATTCACATGAACGAGTTCTGCTACGACTCCCTCACATTTCCTCTGATGGCGACACCAACGTCATTCAGTATATCAGTTCTCGGTGTGTTGCTAGGATTATGATAATAGACCACACAGTCACATGATATTGTCACACTATGTTTATCTGTCAATACCTTGATTACATTCATAATATTATACCATATCCTATGATCTCCTGCTTTGGGTTCCTGCCCTGCATGCTGTTCAAAACTACTTACTACTTATTGGATTCTCTGTAGATGTATCTGTGTGTCCACTATCTCAATATTCATATCAAATCTTCTGCATATGATTATGAATTATATTGTTTTTCCTTTGGTGCTAATTTTCTATAAACTGAATTAATTTTTGCCAACAAGTCCACCTTTATATTCCCTGAACACATACACGTACAGGCAGATAAGCTCTTCTTTCCTCCCGTCTACTTCGACTTGAGAGACACATAAAGCAGAAACTAGACTTGTGTCTAACTTTTTTTAACACCAGTTTAGCTTCTCATCAAACAAGCATGTAGAAATCTCACCACGTGCACCTGTAACCATGTAACCAAAAAAACTGTGGAGCAACGAGGCTGTGGAGGAGCTTCGCACGTGTTTGGAGTCTACAGACTGGGACACAATGAAGGCTGCTTCTAACAGCTTGGA